CTGAGGAACAGAGCTGGTCGGTCGTGGGGCCTTACTAAGCACTGCGGTGGATCGTATTTGGACTTTGGTGCGATAACCCGACAGAAAGTGCTGAAGTCGAAAAGGAAATTCTACTTGCTCCTTATGGTTTTCCGCAAAAAAATAAAATAAATACAATCTCTAACCTGCAGCTCTAAAAAGGCAGCAGGTTTTCTTTCCAACCAAGCAATAGCACACCAGATTCCAGTCATCTCATCAAATCATCATGTTCAGATTGGACTAACTTGCAGCCTGCAGCCACACGGCCCTTTCTGGAAACACTTTGACACCTCTAGTTTAGAGGATTTGTAGGACACATTAAACCATGAAGTATGGTGGCAGCATCATGATATGGCGGTGGTTTTCTTGATCAGAAACAAGAAATCATCAATGGGAGAAACCCTGTGGAGGATTTTTATCTTTTGGCAGGACAAAAACAAACAAACAAACAAACCATCAGACCTACTATGGGATGGCTGAGAAGCACGTGGCCTGATCCAGGATTCCATTAAAATGAGGATATGTGTGGAAAGACTATATCAACATAAACAGATGCTTTCTGTGATGTCTATCATGGCAAATCTTATAACATTGAGGTTTGTCGTAACAGGATATTTAAAGGTTTATAAATGTTTCTTTTTTTGTCATATCTATAATTGATTCAAGAATCCTGAATGAAATCTCTGTATTGTATTTTGACCTATTTTGGAAAGTAAAGAATTTGGCCGTTTTATATACCTTGTTGTGTTTATTTTGTCTACAAATTATAATATCACAATAGTTACGAAAAAAGGTGCTTATTGTTGCATTTATTGTTTTTTTAGGCCTTTCTTGGCTCCCAATTAGTTCAAATATACAGTATAAGCTATCAATAGAAATCAGCTGTGCTGAAGCAGGAAAGCCTCTAAAATCTGCAGGAAAGTGGCCCCAGAGGACCGACTTTTGACATGACTGCTGTAAGGTCTTAAATGTGTTCAGCTTCTGCTTAAGATGTTATTAGATCTCTTTTTATACTATTTGTCAACAGGAAATTCCCAACATTAACTTTTACTTTGTATGCTTACAGAAATTAGGACATATAACAGCTTAATCCTTTCATGATGATTATTTTCACATTTCTGTTTAAGTTGCACTTTCACACCTTTATCTCACAATGAGGTGATTAACACAGCTGCTTCTTTTCAGGCTCGACCCAAAGGTCAAGGCCTGACCCCGTATCAGGGAAAGAAGAGGTGCTTTGGGGAATACAAATGCCCTAAATGCAAGAGAAAGTGGATGAGTGGCAACTCTTGGGCCAACATGGGACAGGAGTGCATCAAGTGTCACATCAACGTTTACCCACACAAGCAGGTAAAATATTACATCTCAATTAACAATATTGTCATTTAGGTTAAATATGGGAGTTTCAGGTTTAGAGGAGTTGGAACTGCTGTTTCCAGTGATGGCTTAAGGGGGGAAGAGGAGTGGTACATCCTTACATTACTGTAGTAATTATTATCAAAGTGGCAGAAAAAGGATGCATGTTTTCTTAACTACCACCACTACTCTTGTATTTAGCATAGATCAGTATTCAGCCCTCCTTAGATCACTGATGTAGAACCATGTCTAGAAAATTTCAGAATAAGTCTGTAGGATTTGATCGAATTTTTGCTAAATGGTTTGATAGTTTTTTTAAGTTCTTAATTCTTAAGGAATTAAGAAGGTTTAGACTTTGACTTTAGGACTCTTGATCTAAGCTATTTCATTCTATCCCTGTATATTTGATTAGAGGTGTTTTTATTGATTAAATAAGAGCCTCAAACCCAAAGTCAACAGCTTTCTGATCTGGAGAACAAGCTGCTATATCCATGTTTCTCAGTGGCAGTGTTAGGTTTAAACCAAATGAGCACATTTTGGGTAAAATTTACATTTATTCTTATCTAACCAGAGGAACGTACTCTACATTTGCTGTATCCTTCTTGTGGCAAAGAGAAAAAAAAAAATTTCCCCCCTATGACTAACTTCTCTATAAAGGCAACAAAAATTGTACAAATGTTTTTTCCTGATGACCGATTATCTGAGTTGTACATCTGTGCAGCTCCTCCAGAGTTGCGTTGGGTTTGCAGTGCTGCCGTACGTTTTCCATTCTGAAGTAATGGACTGAGCAGCTGTGGGAGATGTCTGAAGCTTGGGTTTTACTTTGTAACCTGCTTTTCCCTGACCATTGTTTAATATTCTTGGTGTTGGTGATGCTTTTTCTTCACTACAGTTCTTAATCATTCTTCTATTAGCATCTAATCTATTCAGTTCAGGTTAGTTCATGTGGTTTGAATCATCCTCCACTACAGTGGAGTTGCAGCTCAACAGGGGCTGGATTTTTCATTGCAAGGTGGCTCTAAAGTCCAAAGTGATGTGATTTGTAGAGACACCAACAGCAGCCTTAACTGCTGCTCAATTTATGGCTTTTCTCAGACTCAGATTAAAAGAGAAATTAAACAGAAAGCACCCACATGATGCACCCTGGATATGTACAGCAGAGAGACAGAAGCCATGGGGTATAAAACAGAAGGATAAGAACTACAGGGTATGTGAAGGTAAGCTAACGCTACATAATAGCGTGCTGCGATAAGCCCAGTGTAAACTGATTTAGTCATAAAAGATACACAAATATCCCATGACAATGGTCCTATCCCACTAACTAATCGGTATGAACTGCCAGCAAGCAAGCAGGGACTGAAAATAACGATTCTTTGTAAGAGTTTATAATGGAAAAACAGTAAAACATATTGACCCAGAGAGAACCTAATTGGTACTGGAAAAAGGAGCTAAAGCAACATGGGCTTCACAGAATTGCTAAGTTTATTCCATGATTATATGAACAACAGCTGCACCTACGACTTGTTGCACTGTATTGCAAGGATAAATCGCTTTTTTTTTTTTTTTTTTTTGTAGGACATACTTTTGCTTTTGTAACCTGCACTGCTTGCCCTGGATCTTGGGGAAAAGTTTGGATTGTTGTTCAATTGATCATTAAATATCTTCAGACAAAAGAGTGAACTTGGAAAAAAGAAAAAGAGAAACTCTTGGGTGTAATCTGGGTTCATACATTCCTGTGTGCACTTCTTTCTTTGTTTTCAGTGTTATTTCTTATTGTATTATTGTTTATTTTTCTGAATATATCCGAAGCATATTTTATTTTCAGTACAGTAACTCAAACCAACTACTTGTTGCTTTGTAAATTATTAACCCACATGTTCCATAGCCGAACCTATCCGACATCCGGTTTAACATCCGTGGCCGTAGTCAGGGGCCTAGCCATATCTGCATTACTTTTATTTCAGAATGCTTCACTGCCTTGTGTTGGTCTATAACAAAATCCCAATGCCTTACATGTTGTGACTGTAACACGACTAAATATGGAGCAACGAACCAAACTGTTGCATCTGTGACTCTCTTCACTGCATTGATTTCTCCCTTTCAGAGACCTCTGGAGAAACCAGACGGCTTGGACGTGTCGGACCAGGGCAAAGAGCATCCACAGCACCTGTGTGAAAAATGCAAAATCCTTGGCTACTACTGCCGCCGTGTGCAGTAGGAATTATTGCCTCTCCCTGCTATTTGCAGACCTCTTGGAAGATTCACCCTTTTGTATTTTACCTTTAAAAAAAGGATTTTGTACAGTGATATTTCTAACAAACATGTTTAAAACATTTTCTCTAAGGCAGCCTTAAGAACAAACGTACATCTCAGCAGAAAAGAGTCATTCTGTGTTCTTCAAAGTGACTCGGCTGTCTTCATTTTAATCTCATTACAGAATAAGTGAATTACTGTGAATATTAACCAGGTTAGCTCCTTCTGATTCTAGTCAAGTCTGTATATTTCCAAAATAATTCATTGCAAGTAATGCCATCTGTATAAAATATGCAAGTAAGAAGTATATTCAGTGTTAACATATCACTGCTTATAGGTACATTACTTTTTTCTATGATTTCTTGTTTATTAAATGTTTAAGAGGAATATATTTGATTGAAAGTTGCACTGTGACTGTTATGAACACACCACCCTAATGGTTCAGGGTTATGTTCACACAAGAAGCTATAGCAAAGATGTGAAAGGCATTCAGCGCTGGGAACACTCACCAAAGTGCCAATTAAGTTTGTGAGATGATCGTATGGGACCAAAGAAGGGAGATAAAAAAGTTGGAAAAAGTAGCAGATGTGGAGCAATAGTCAAAGGACACTATTTACTGAAGTAATAAAACCTAAGATGTGAAGTTTTATACCATGTGCCTCCTTTGAATAACAGATCTATGGATTATACTTATATTAAAAGGCTTATAAAAGATGTTTTGTCTGTTATTTTTTTCCCCTCAAAATCACAATCTTATGCATTGCTGCATTGATGTGGTTGCTGAAATTTTAAACCTCTATAGTTAAATTTGCATAATTATTGTTTTCTTTCATTTTCATTAAATGTGTTTTTTTTCTCAGTGGGTTTACAAAATGTGCAAAATAATAAAGTGGACTTGACCGGGGATCGTGACAAGTGATATTTTCCATCCAACTACTCAGATGTTAAACATTATGGCTGGTTTATATTTTTATGGATTGCGTTGAGAAAACAAAGCCAAGAATTATTCCATCATTGCTTTTTGCAACCCTTCCTAAAATTTATAGCAAAGGGTGGGAAAAGTGCCACATTATATAATCTCCCATTTATTATAATAGGAATGATGGCAATTTATCGTACCCACTGTTTAAAATAGGAAAAAACATTTTAATCTTCTGTTTGCTACAGTAACAAAATTATATTATAGCATTTATCAAGCCTTCACCATTAATGCATAGAAAATTAATTAATGATTGCTGTATATTCACTGATAAGCAATGAGTGACATTTCAAGGAACAATTTTCCAGAAAACATGAAATCAGGTAACTTTGTCTTTTTGATATAAAGCGGTGTTTTTTGGGCCCTTTTTTTTCTTGTGCTGTGGGGGATCTTTTTTAATCAATGATGATCACATGGACAAAAATATGCTTTTCTTTTTTTCAAACCAATGTATGAAATCTTTAATTGACGACTCTTCACAAGTTCCCATTTAAAGGACTTCAGAGGCCCCAAAATAGGAGCCGACAGCATTCAAGTACCACCATATGAAAATGAGAGATCCAGTGATCCATATTTACCACAGCGAGGTAGCTCTTTGCACTGTGAATAAAGAAAGGACTCTTCTGTTAAGATTACAGCAGGAGATGCCACTCTGACAGAACCCACTGTGCACATAGGAGTCTAATCAAGCTCTCCACAGTCTGTGATTGTGATCCTCTTGGAGGTGCGCCCAGACCGGGAACCATAGGATTCCACTTTCTTCACCACGTCCATCCCCTCCTTTACGCTGCCAAAGACAACATGCTTGCCGTCGAGCCTGGGTGAAGAAGAGCTCTGTTTTAACACCTTGAATAGAGAGCCGTGGACGATCACCTGTCTCTGCAGAAAATGTCCATTTAAGCCAAAATTTTGCTTTTATGTTCAGAAAATTCTCTTGAATCATTTAAAGGTTAGTCAGATATCAGGCTTAAAGGCACACCAATGACTTTGTCACCTAAAGAGCTGACGCATATGTGTCATTTTTAATGGGTCCTCAGGCCAATATATAGCGCTTGACACCATCAATGCTATGAGCGAGGCTCCCCTCTTGAAATATTGACTATGTAAGTTGGAAGAGACACACTGTGGTTGGCCAGGTCATGTGACCTGAGAGAGTGCATCGCTTTATGGCCACAGGACCTTATAAAGTCATGGAGCTAAAGGCTTTTGCTCTAATAATTTTCGGTCTGCTCGACTTCTGGTCATTGCTGAGGCAAGGAAAAGGTTTAAACCTTCTAAGGAGGCTAAAAAGAGGAATCGTGAAAAGGATCTTGGAGGAAGAAAAATAAGAGTTGTTCTTGGAATAGAGTTTGTTCGTTGGTGCAGGCTTAAAGAAGAAGCCTGATATAAAACCGATTCTCTTTTCTCAACTTTATTATTAGATTGGTTACACTTTGCTCCTAGTATACAGTCATATATCTTTGTTATTTTTGTAGTAGAAGCAACATACTTGCAGTTACAGCTATTGCGCCCCCCTAGTGGCCAAAAGTTACACAGTGGGCCTTTAAAAGATATGTGAGGTGTAAATTCTTCAATAGAATAAAGGACTGTCCTTGTACTGCTTCGACAGTTAATATAACTAAAAATATAACCATCATGACTGGTTTTTCATCAAAATTTTGGAAAGGTTTTGTGGAAAAAAAAAGAAAAAAAAAAGTGGGACATGTTTTAGGAAAGGAATTTGGTTCAGATATTCAAGTTTATATCTGGGTTGAATCCCAACTGTTCTTATGCAATTTTCAGCACAATCTAGATTTTTAGTTTTGTAAAGGCAGTGAAAGCAATAAACAAATAATAAAATAGAGAAATGATTTATAATCAACTAAAAGGATCAAACCAGAAAACATAATTTCCATGGAAAGTTAAAAGGTGTCTGCACATCAGCATTTTAAAAATTGCCGGTTCTAAAGTCGTAAGAAAAGATAAAGATGATGTGTATGATGTTCTCCAATTCTCAGATCTTTATTGATCTATTACCAAAAATGAAATCAACTTTAAGTGCCCACAATAAAAAAAAAAAATAAAAATAAAAGTCAAACTGTCCTGTACTTACCACTCTGTTTTTGCAGTACAAATGAAGAACTGGGATCCATTGGTGTTGGGTCCAGCATTGGCCATGGACAAAATACCTAAAAACACAGAAAGAGTAAATATTGTGATGAAGGCTAAACAAAAAAGTAGATTATTCTATTAAAGCAAGGTTTTGTTTAAATCGGCTATAATCTGACAGATAACACTAAAGAAGAAACTTGTTTTAAGATGCCAAAGATCTGAAACCATTTGTAGAGAGCTGCCACCTGCTGGACAAAAATAAACATGACCATGTTTAGGATATTGCCTTTCAGGGAAGAAAGTAAACAACTGATCTGTTCAACCCTTAATCATTAAGCAGAATGTGGTTTCTAAATAAAAATGCCCGAGCTGTGATGTAGATGAAAGTGATTGTGTTAGACGCATCATATCGATCACAGAAGTACAAACTGATGAAACATCAAATTAAAGACAAATTGTGTATTATAGGGGAAATATCGTTTTGAAATCAAATCCATACAACATCGCGGTGAAACCATCGATTTACATCCGTAGTGCTCAGAAAACTGTTGACACTCAACAGTGAAGAAACTATATGCTTGTGGAATGTTGAAATCACGCATATTATTGGAAAGTGGAAGGAAAATTTCCATTAGAAAAAAAGCTTTATATGAAAATATAGTATTTGTTTCATTGTTTGCATTGAATCGTTAGTAACGATTAGCTGTTGAGGGTAATTAAGATCAGAGATGAGGGATTTTCACACAAAAAATCAATTCTTTTTGTCCACCAATATTGAGATTTTATTTTGGCTTACCTTTGGGCTAACCACAATAATTTAGATGTTTCCTTCCAGGGTTTGGTTTTTTCATCATTTTGAAAACTTGCTTGTCTAGAGTACATTTATGCATGAATTTATTATTTGTGCTGCATGAATACGTGCTTCTACTGGCGTGCACGGATGTCTGCTCTACCTGTAACTTTCTTTTGGTTTCTGTTTGGCAGCAAACCCACTTTAAGAGCATTACTTCCGCCTAAAGGCTGGGATGAGATCAACTGTTGTTTTCATTAAGTGTGGCTGTGATTTCAAATTTAACTTTTGTTAAATTGCAATTATATTGCAAAAGAAAACATTTGTCCTAATTAAAATGGACATTTAGTGAAATCCACTACCTTTGCATTTGTTGATACTAAGCCCAAAACAAGGTGTATTTTTTAACCATCAAATCTTAAATGTTAAAATGCTCCCCTTACTCGCTCTAATATAGCAGTTTACTCCAATGAAATCTGTCTCAAGACTATAGTTTAGCAGATTTTGGTCAATGCATTTTTTTATTTCTTCAAACTGAACCTGTTAAAACAATCCTTAGATATTACAAAATAATTCTAGGATGTGCAATTTTAAATATTTTTATGGTTATACTGCCTAATTTCAAACATAAAACTTAAACTACAATACAATTTTCAAGCACTTGTCATTTAAACCCAACCACTGCAAGATAACAAAACCACTTTTCTGCTGTTTTTGTATAAAGCAGAGCTCTAGAATATCCAGGGAGGCTTATGATTTTCCAATCTGTACAAAAAACATCAGGTGCCTGCATGCACAAACTTGTGTTTTTCTTCAGAAATACGGGTAAATTGTTGAGCTCAAGATGTAACACGCCAGACGCTTCCAAGAGCACGCTGCTGACGGAAAAGGTTTAAGAAAATCTGGTTGGACTAACTTTGCGCCTGGAGGCGGAGGGACGATTTTAACTCTTTGTGATGAATCTGCTCTTTCTGCAGCCTTTTTATGCATTACACAACCACTACGTATCCTTTTAGAGACACTCCAGCCATGTTATAGCTTCCTGTTTCAGCAATAAGGGGAAATTCTAAGAAGTTAGAGGGATTTTTTGTCCCCAAGTTCTTATTTTTCCTCATAATCATTTTACAAAATAATGGGGAAAGTAAGTTATCCTCTTCAGTTCCATACAAAGATCCCATTGATATTAATTTGCAATTCCTGACTTTGAAAACTGTCAAATAATGGTAAAATATTTTTCCAGAAGAGAAGTTTTTACCAGGCCCAGTGTGCTTCAACTGGAAGTTCTCATCAGGAAATCTCAACCCATAAATGGACTTCCCACCGGTTCCATTGTGGTTGGTGAAGTCTCCACCCTGAGAACAGGCACAAAGAAAGCTGAGCAACTAAACACTGCATATAACAGGGAGATAAAGAGAAGAACAGGCCTACCTGGCACATAAACTGAGGGATGACCCTGTGGAAGCTGGAGCCCTTGTAACCAAAGCCATGTTGTCCTGTACAAAGCGCTCTGAAGTTTTCTGCAGGAAACTTTAACTGTCAGTCACTGGAGTTTTCTTTATTTGACTTTACCATTAGATACCATTATATGTGACAAATCTATGCATGCTTTTAAAAAAATTTTAAAATAAATTTCATACCTGCTGTTTTTGGCACAACATCTGCGTTGAGCTTTAAAAATAAAAATAAAATACAAATTTTTTATCAAACCAAATGACAGTGACAATCTGAAAGTAAATAATAACCCTCAGCTGCTGGAAGCACCTACCTCAAACGTCACTCTGCCCAGAGGCTCGTTATCCGCAGCAATGTCAAAGTAAACCTTCGGGTTTTTATTAGCCGCTGCGGGGCCGCTGCTGTAAAGGCGCGCGGCGGTAAACGCCAGCGAGCAAAACTTTATCCTGTTTGACAAAATCAGCATCTTAAAACAATTCCAACCACTCTGACCCACTGCAATCAGAACAACATGCGAGCTAAAGTCAAACAGTTATATAGCGGCGGTATGGGAATGTCTTCTTCTTTCTTATTATGGCGGATTGCCAACAGCTTAGTGGTGAATATCGCCACCTACTGTACATTGGCGTGTAATTACTTCTTTTTCTTTTTTTATGGCAGTTGGCAAGCAACTTATTGATGTGCATTACCGCCATCTACTGGAATGGAGTCTGGATCTGGACGCCATATATAAATTCTCCCACAAAAAAACTAACCAAAAAATAAAATTAATGTGTAATTACAATAGCTTCCACCAAACAATTTCTCTTTGGTGTTAAATAACTAATGCTTTCCTAATTATACAGATTTTTCCCCATTACTTTACTAGTATTTCTTCCATAATTTGTTATTTTCCTCCTTTCTTCTCTCTTTCTCTAATTTACTCTATTTCACAGTTTACGAAAAATTTTTCCACATTTCCTTCTTCTGCACATCCCTCACATTTATCATTGCTTTTCAGTCCAGTCATTTATGATATGTGATATGTCCTACTCGTAGTATCACTATTGGTACTTCCTCTTTCTATTTCTCTCACTAAAATTCCTTATTAATACACATTTTTTCATTTAATGTACACATCTTCCTCCTTTATCTTGATTCCTTTTTGTTTGCAGCATTTCAGTTTAATTTTACTTGTGATAATAGATTTACCTGTCCCTTTTCCAATCAGAATAGTTATAATTATGTCCAATTTATCTGCAGTGTTGTTGCATTTTACTCCTTTGTTTGCTGAACATAGATACATACAACCCTAGATAAACTATATAAAGTGGTTGGAGTTCTTTTGTCTCCTGCAGGCTGAATACTCTCTGTAACTACTTTTGAGTCAGTCCATACCACCACCCACTTGGTCTAACATCTTTCCTAAGCTTATTATTACTGCCACCATTTCTGCTGTGAAGACTGTAACTGATCTGATAATCACTTGGATAAACATATCTGAAACTATGGTATGTAAATAAATTCCTTTCCCCCACATACCCTATTGTGAATATAAAATCATTTGTGAAAGTCTTAGGGTAAAAGTAGTGGGTTTTTTCTTTTTTTTTCTTTACCCCTTCTTATTGTAGCTTACAAGTGTTCTTCATTTCAAAGACAAAGATTTATTGACTGGATTGTTGAAAAAAACTGAAGTCACCTGCCTCCATCTTGGTACTCCCCATTCTCACTCCCAATTTTCAGCTCCATAAAAATGCCTTTCAATACATCAATAAATTTATATTACATGTACATCCTCAATTTAGCACATCTGGCACATCACCAAGTCATGTGTGTGTATGGGGGTGTGTAATATTCTTAATATCTGACTACAGTATTATTATGCTCCATTAACACACAAATACTGTTATAATGGATTTGTAAAATATGTTATTTAACATAATTTATAGACTTCATACTGACCATGCAATGTGATGTGCCTATTTGTTTTTATTATAAATTACAGTAAACTACTGATGCTATGAAACAGCGCATGTGTTTCAAAGTGATTAATTTATCTATATGAAAGAAAATTGGAAAATCATTGTTCGATGCAGTAGCCGCACATGTATTGTTTAACTTCCAAGCTGTCTAACTAGGGAGTACAAATATGGCGGCCAGTGACTTCACTCCACCCTGTGCTACAAACGCGCTATCAACAATCCAGTGAATACATAGAAATCAGTGGTTCCCTTTTGTCTCAGGAGGAATGGCACTGATTGGATTATAATGGGTTAGTTCCTTTTATAATCCACGTATTTTAGCCAGGTTGCTTATATTTCCACCCAAATCCATTTCTCAGGGGTTTTGACTAACAGTTTAGTTTTGATGTTATATTTTCTTTTTAACTACCTTTTAGTTCTATCTAGTTCATAAATTCTAGGTAAGTCATGATTAGTAAAGCACTAGTGAGTTGTTTTGTTGCCTTTTTATACACATGTGAAGCCCTGTACTGTAGTCTACCTGCTTTGTGTAATTTTGATCTAGCTGCAGCTCCATATATTATGTAACCATACCTAAGGTGGAACACATTAGTACGATAACTCTTCCTTTTTTGTATTCAAGGAAGTGTACATATTAAGTTTATAATAAAAAAAAAAACCATGCATTGCTATATAGTTGTGAATAAACGATATTCTATACAAACTTTGAAAGTCTTTAGTAACTTTTTTTTTCCATCAGAGTCTTCCAGCCTTTTTTATTAAGAGAGTTTGATGATAGAGCTGAGTGAAGTTGGGCTTCTGCTAAATGTACTTGTATTTGTGGATGTAGAATCTGGGCAAGATAATAAGTAGATCAACAATAGTAGATAGATTACTTTTCCATTTTAAAGCATGAAGCCACAGAGGCTCGTCCAGATGTCCCTGGAGTAAGAGCAAATCCAAAAGAGGAGCTGAATCGTTTTTACATGAGAACTACAAAAAAAAAAAAAACCTATACATCAATGTCCCTCTTAGATTTTTTTTGTCATGAAGTGGTTAACAGGATAAAACTTATGGATAATTTTAGAAAAAAAACATCTTATTAAACATCTTTTAGGGACTGTCCAAACTTCCTTAGATGAAATATCAATAGAAGCCCAGAATATTACATTTTATTCAGGTGTGAATTGATAATTAGTTAGAATTTCTGGTTAAGACATCAGTTGGCCATTGCTGTTTAAGACTTGTAGTACCAAGATAATATTTTTCTCCACCCAATTATTCAAATATGGGGATTTGTTTTGTATAAAACATTCTCGTTTCTCCATATATTTCTTGGATGAGAAACTATGGTTATATCGGTGCAGGAATATGGAAAGGTCTCCACAAAACATGACATAAAACCCGGTTGATCAGATCTAATGAGACTTTTCCTTATTCATTGAACTAGCGGGCAAATTATTCAGCAATGCAGTTAAACCACCAAGAGGTGAGACTTGTGGACCGACTGTGGTTAAAAATATATATTTTTTTTCCCTAATAGGTCTGGTTTTATATTCACTTTAAACAGGATTTAATTGGCTGACAGTTCTGACAATGTAAAAATATGTTCCATGCTTCATCTCCTCCAGTCACATTTTCTGGTTTCAATAAAATTAATATGTATTTAAGTTGCCAGAGTCTGAAGATAATGATCCTTTTCCTCATGTTTGTCTCATATCTCCAATTTTCTGTTGCTTTCTGTTAAACAGCTCAGTTTTCCCCTTAAAGGTATAGTGGAGGATGTTCTTTTTCCGGGTGGATCATCAAAATAAGTAGTCGTCCTTATTGTCAATCATTCTGGTAATATGTTTATGTAAGGCGGTCCTACATGCTCGTCCCCATTTTCACTTACCGGTGGTGAGTCTGACATAGTGGAAAAACTGCAAATCTTCTTGACAAATAAGCTAATATGAGTGAAATAAACAGCAACATTTAAACAGTGAGTGCACAAGGAGAAATGGGCTCGTGCACGCTCTCGCATGCGTTTAATAGGTGTTCTCTCTCAGGAGTGGGGACAGGGTTGTATATCAAATGTTTTACTTTGCTAGCTGTCATTTCATTTCCATTACTCATATAACAGGCTGGGATCCAATAAGTGATTAGCACCATTACAATGATTTTATAGAAGTTACCTTAAGTTCTTCACCAATTTTTTTCCTTATAAATGTAAAAAATATAATTTTATTCTATTCAGATTCATCTAAAGCTCCATTCATACGACTTTAGAACAGAAATTGCTCCTGTTATCCTGCGAGATCGCACCACACAAGAGGAGAGACACTAAACCTCTCATTTCTGAGCAGTTGATGAACCCACTCCAAAAAAAGGCAGGAATAAATATTAGGACAAAACAGTTTGAAAAATGGCAACAATTTTATTATCTGTAGTAAAAACCATCCAAGGACATGGACAAACAAATTAATTGGCTGATAGATGAACAATCAAAATAAAGAGAAAGATCTCGGAAAGATGTCATTTTCTGCTCCGAACCGAGCTGGCAATGGGAGAAGTAAAGCCAACCAAAAATATTTTACAAAGAAATCTTTCTTTGAAAAAATAACCTATTTATTCACACCTGTTAAAATGTAAAAAACACACAGTATGAGCGGCAGAAGATAAAAAATAAAAAAATGAATTGCATGCTGGCCTCAATAGCAGATTGGAAAAGTAGACGTTTCTTCTCCGTTTGGATCAAAACGAACATGATAATTAGCCATCAAGCAACAGCAGGTCCAGATCTGGTTCACTGATCCTGCTAAAGTATGAGGAATCGTCAAGTTCAGAAGCTGGTACTCCTTTATCCTTCTAATGATGCACCTTACAAGAGCGTAGAACCTGGCGACATCCTGGGCTCTACCCTGGGTCCAGTTACATTCATCCTCAGAGCTCAGTGGGAATCTGACCAGCCTTGCCCCAACATTTTTAAACAGATCCTCACTGCAAAAGTCTTTGCCTGCTATAACTTCATCACCCGGCTCGAGTAAGTTCAAAATCCCACATCGCCTCGTCATGTCGTCATTGGAGATTGCATCGGGGAATAATTCTGACACGAAGCTGATCAAACCACAGGGAGCCACACCCACCAAAGCTTTAAACGTGGTGCAATTCATCTCACATGACAAAGTGTCGGCAGACATTTTCAATTCTCCAATCTCACATCTGAGCTCAGAGCAGTCTATTATAACCCTTGTGCAGAGGGAGAGCTGCTGTTTTTTCAGAGGCATCATCTGACGGACCTGCGCTCTCGTCATCCAGATCTGTACTGACCCCAGGACAAGATACAAGTAGTTGGACCAGGTGACGATGATCTGAATCACTCTCGAGTAATGGATCCTAAACATCCCTGACAGAATTTGCTCTTTAAGGCCAACAGAAAGGTAGAGGCAGAACATAAAAAACTCGTCGATGAGTGGAAGTTCATGCGGGCATGTTAACTCCTGCTCCACCACTTCTGGAAGACATCCAGCCCTCTTTGCTTTGGACCAGTAAACGTTCATCGATGCAGACGGTTCCACAGAAGCCCAAAAATGAAAGAATATTTCTTTGGATGGAAACCTGGTGAAATATCTGAAGTCATCTTCAGACATACACCATCTCTCACACAGAGGTCCAGTTAGGGCAAGATTTGATACGCTCTTCTGTATTTGCTGTAGTCTCTCCACTGCCCCATCAAGTTCACCTAAACACACAAAAAAAACATGATCATGTGATGTGTTTAAAGTCATCGATGTCCAAGAGGAAATCAAAACAAGATCTGCTCAATTTTGCATTCAGGGAAATAGGTTAAAGAATTACTGCTGGCCAATTCACAAATTGGTTTGATACAGAATTATGTGTTTGAGAGGTTTGTTAAGCTATTAACCACTGGAAGTGCAAATCATTGGTTTATTTAGAAAACTTTCAGGTTCTATCATCCTAGTAAAAGTCTGAACCAATGGACTCTGGGAAAAAAAGATTTATAAAGCTGAGAGCCTGGGGGGAAACATCTGCAAGCTTGGGGTTGGTTTAACAGAAAATCTAAGTAAAATCGCAATATTAGCTAAAAATAATCACAATTTTTGGGGAAATCGATGCTTCCTGGAGAAGTTAGGTGATCCTGGGGCTTAGAATGATTAAAAATTCAAACCTCAGGTCTGTGCCATCATTTCTGGGTTGCCTTAGTTACCCAATTTTGGAGCAAATAGAGCTACTGTGGCTATCAAATGGTAACAGCCTCCCTCCCGTACCTGTCGAGTTTTGGATTTTAAAATAAACAACATCCCATGGGAGCCATTCAAGTACCCCACTAAAGGTCCAGGCACAAGAAATCAAAAACAAACACTTTCAACCGATTCCAAATTACAATAAGGTGATCAGATTTTCACTATGACAAGACAGATCAATGTTTTTTTTTCCTTTGCCACTAAGTAATATTTTTAAACATGCATTATCTAATAGGTTGCATATCTTACTAATGTTTTCAGTATAACAAATATTGAGGAATCTCCTCCTTCCTCGCACCTGAATAACATGAACTTTGTTAAATATGGCAGTCTAAATACATTCTGGTCAGAATTATGCCATACATTATGAAATGCATAGTGGTTCAATGTGGAAATAATTTTCACCCATTCAGACACATTTCTAGGCTAGCATGTTTTAAGTTACAGTACATGAATCACAGCCGTTCTACTTATAAAAAACAAATGAAATATAAAACTTGTATGGTTTCAAAACTAAAGCAGCAAAACCACATAAAAACCATCTGAACTTTTACTTGCAATTAGGTTAATACATCTTTTTAAACAGAGAGAAGCAGGGAGAGCTGCAGATTTAGGGGTGAAACAGATTTACTGGGATATGCAAAATGCAATAAAATATATCTCCAAGTTTACCAGAAAGTTTACAAGAAAAAAAAAAAATATGCTATGCTATATATAAAATGCAGCATATCCATTTTTTTTTCTGGATGGAATTGAAATTGTACTTCTAGGGATGCATGATAAATTAATTTTGGCATTGGAATTTGCTCTTAGGCATCTCTCTAACATCTATAAATATCAGTGGGTTGTGGTCTTGTGTTCTCAAAAATAGGAAAGCATTCTATAAAAAATTAGCGTTTGTGCTCATTTTTGGAAAATTCGCCTAATGTAAGTCCACGGGTCTCCACCATAGTGTCCCCAACAACTTTCATCACTATACTCCCTTGCGGTAACGGTAGCCTGGACAACGCCGGCGGCCCCGTACTGACCTGTGGAGGGACCGCGGCAACCATAGTCGTGATCCCTCAAAACGATAGCAGCCATTTCCGTCTCCACGTCGGCTGCTACTTTCATTGACATTCTCTTATTTACTCGTCTACAATTCTTATATCCATAAAACCCAGAAAAACATCCGGTTGTCTGTAGTTCTTAGCCTCATATCGGGGGAAACAAACCGAGTAGGTAGAGTAGAAGAAGAAGAAGCAGTTTGTTTGGAGTTTTACTGGTGATTTGCAAAGCAACGTAACATTTACTGCCACCTACCGACCAGGAGTCAGAAGAACAGAAGTTTGTACCCCAGATTTTACATTATTTCAATACGGCTAAATAACGCTGTATTATGCTTGAAATAAAAAACTAGCAGCAGTAGTGGAGTTTGGAGATGCAATCCACTTCTTAAATCTATCTTTGCTCTCTTTTAATTTATCCAGAAGTTCTACAATCGCATTTTTTCTCTCACTCCCAACTTTGTGATCGGCTGCATATTTAGCCGTCCCTGGAAATGCCTTTCCAAATTACTATTTTTATTATTTGAAAAATTCTCGTACCAAAACAAAAATGCAGACAAACCTTCCACATTGATAATGAAAGCTAATGATTTTGTCAGTTCTTCTTTGAATCCCCTGTTCTCTACAGGTATCTTCCTTTTTTCCCTTTGGGATCCATGGCGCAAGACACACCCGCCGCTTTCTTTGCCTGGCGCCGCGCTGAAACATGTGTTGCAGGCTTTGGCCACTGATCTCTACGGAAGAGGATTAGGGCGACTGTAATAATAAAAAACAGTTAACAGATTTTTCAATTTTATTTCAGTTTAATATGGGAAAAAAGTCAGAACTCTGAGAAAAAAAAAGTCAGAATTCTGAGAAAAAAGTCAGAGTTCTGAGAAAAAAAAGTCAGAGTTCCAGAAAAAAAGTCAGAATTC